AATATTTGGTTTGAACTGTTCTGGAACAGTGTTGTAAATACAACTTAACCACTGATTTCTAGCCGTGTCCTCTTTTGGAAGACCAAACAAAGTATTGCTTTCACAACGAAACACACAGCGTCTTCACAACATGGCGGCGGCAGCAAAAATAAAGTTAAGCCTTCTTTCTTTTCGTGAACATTTGGGCAGCGTTATGCAAATCTTCCCACATCGTGATGTAGCCATGTGGGGGCGTGTTTGAACGGGCGTTTTAGGAGGGCGTGGACCAGTCTTAACTTTTATAAAGAATATCTCTTTGGGTTTGAGACTTTCGTCTTTGCAAATTTAGGGATCTTATCTATTCACGAACAGCTTGTAACACTCCAAAGAGAAAGGAAAACTTGAAATCGCATCATATGACCCCTTTAAATGGACATTAAATGAGGGTTTAATTAGCAAATTGAAATTTGAACCTGCAGCAGCAACGATAATGTCTGCGATCTGCGTGTGCTGACGGAGCTGTTCTTTGGGAGTGTAACGGTGGGAGATGGTCACTGTGGCATCACCTGAAACAAAAAAGGCATGATGCTTTATACTAATTGCCTTGTATCACCAAAGATCATCAGAACTGCACACAAATGCTTTTGCTTTTTTTGCTCACAGACTCACCTCCTGGCCTTTCATGTCTGCCGTCTGTGTGTAGCAGCATTGCAATGGGCATCCCAACGTTCTTGGAGCGACCAGCAACTACCACATTCTTACCCAGCGTCTGTATGCCTATGACAAAAGACGGGTTCAGTCAGCATAAACATTCACTGCCACATTGAATACAATATGCACATTGAATATACAATAATGTTGAAAATTATGTACATTTGTAAATAAAGCAAATGCACATTGTATTCCTGAAATGCATGTTAAACTCACAGAGCAGAGAGTTTGTGAAAAGAATTTACTGTGAACTGAACCGCTTTGAAACAGCATCAAAGCTGCACAAACACACCGCAGAATGAACCCTCCTTAGCTAAATTGCAGCCCTTTATTCAATAACTGCGATTTCCATTGCTTTTTGATCAGTTGTGCACAAACCCTCATTTGGGCAAGTTGGGCAACCCTGCCCTAGATGGTTGCTTACTGTCTCAAGTCTCTAGGAGTCTCTATTTCGGTGTCTCCTTCAATCCATGTCTATGGGATTTGTTCACTGATTTTAATATCTGCATCTGATTGCTTAGAAAGGTAATAGCACACCTCTCCTCAACAATCCACACAGTTTGAGGTATCATTTAACCCCAAATAAAAATACAACATCCAACAGCTCCCAAACTAACTGCTGGGGTTCAAATGACGCTGTATGATCCACTGGTTAAGTTATGGGTTTCTCACCTGTGCGTTTGATAATCTCCCAAACCCCCCAAGGAGTAGCAGGCAGCATAGTTGACTGATCCAGACACATGCGACCAACATTGACCACATGGAAACCATCAACATCTTTCCCTGGGCACACGGCATTGCAGATACGTCGCTCATCAATGTGATCTGTGTATGAGAGGAAACCACTTAAAACAACTCGACAATCCCACAATATAATTGGAAATAATATTCAAGTCTAGTCTTTTATGTACTTTTTGGAAACTCTAGTTCAATCTGGAATAAAGAGAACTAAACAAAACTAACTGGTCAAAAATAGTTTGAAATGACCGTCAAGTCTCACATTAAGCCTTAAACCAGGGGTGTCAAACTCAGTTCCTGGAGGGCCACAGCCCTGCAGAGTTTAGTTCCAACCCTGCTCCAACACACATATCCATCTATTTTTCAAATAAGCCTAAAGGACCTGATTAGCTGGATCGGGTGTGTTTAATTAGGGTTGGAGCTAAACCGCAGGGCCGTGGCCCTCCAGGAACGGAGTTTGACACCCCTGCCTTAAACCTAATGCAATTGTTTCAAAAACCCAGTTCACAGCACTGACAATGTAAAATGTCCAATAACCAACAACTATGAGGCACTACATCAGCACAGCTATAGCTCTTCTGTTAACCTACCAGGAAGTGGTAACTGTACCAACAGACCGTCTACTCTGTGGTCTGAGTTGAGTTTCTCAATAAGGTCAAGTAGCTCCTCTTCACTGATACTAGAAGGTTTCAGGATGGTCTCGCTACTAATGCCTACAGAGAATAAGAGAGCAGTGATACAACAAGCAAATATATGTATTAAATAAAAATTTATAAATATAATATATGCATTTATAAAAAAGCATTTATGCCAATAGGCCCCAAAGTGCCACTCAGATTTGCTTGTGTGAGTTTGTGTAGAGCCAGAGTGTAAGGTCCTGTAAGGAGTCACATGTACACTCAAAATAGACTTACATACTGTACACAGCCAACAGTGGAAAGTGACACCCATCGCTTACATACTACAGCAATACTGAACAGACTCACGGCTGCTTTTCATTTTCATTGACTATACCTCCCAAGTCATCCATTTCATAATTAAAAAAAGTAATTAAAATTTCAATTTTGTAAAGAAATTAATATGTAGGCATATCTACAAATCTCATTTCAAGTATTCAAGCTTGAAGGGATAGTTCACCCAAAAATGAATATTCTGTCATAATTTTCTCACTCGTGTCGTTTCAAACCAGACTTTTATCAAAACACAAATGAAGGCAAAACCTGAGAAGTTTCTGTCCCTCCACTGAAAGTCCACACAACCAAAAATTTGATGAGTCAGAAAGTTCTTAAAAAGACTGCAAACGTAATCCGTATTAAAGGGGTCATGTGATGCTATTTTAAAGATTATTTTGTGTATTTGGTGTAACAGAATATGTTGACATGCTTTAATGTTCAAAAAACACCGCGCTGCGCAAAACTCTGCATTTGAACAGTCAACAGCAAATACTTAAACTGATAACAAAACATACAGTCGCTGATTCAGAAGCGGCAGATTGTCATAGCAAAGTCGGAATTTACCCTTTTTTTTATTTATAGCCTTTGTGCACAGCCTGTGCACAGTCAGCCTTATACTATTCTAGGTTCAAAAAATGGGAATTAAACACACCTGAACCAGCTAAAATTAAAGTGTTCAGGGTTACTTGATAATTAGGCAGGTTTGGAACTGAAGTCTGCAGGACAGGAGCTATCCAGGACATCCCTGTCATAGATGCTCAATTGGGGGAATCTGGTGGCCAAGGCCAAACATTGAACTTTTTGTCATGTTCTTCGAACTTCTTGAACAATTTTTACATTGTGGCAGTGTGCATTATCCTGACGTAGATATGTGGGGGCGTGTTAGAATGAGCCGTTTTAGGTAGGTGTGGCTGACTCTTAACTTTTATAAAGAATATATCTTTGGATTTGAGACTTTAGTCTTTGCAACTTTACAGATCTTCTTTATGCACCAAGAGCTTGTAACACTCCAAAGAGAAAGGAAAACTTGAAATCGCATCATATGACCCCTTTAATTGAGTGGTTTAATGAAGAGAGACAATCGCTTTGAACAGATGAATAGGTTTCATTTAGGGTTTTATTCAAATATAAATGTTGATCAACACACATACAGCATATCATATACGGTTTTCAGAAGTTTGCGCTTTCATCTTTGAAGGGACAAATTTCGGTGGAATGGGATTTCAATGGAAAGACAGATATCTCTCAGGTTTTATTAAAAAATATCTTAATTTGTTTTCGAAGAAAGCCTTGAATTAGCAAGGAACAACTTGGAACAAAGGCCATGTGTTTGTAAGGACATGAGGATGAATAAACAATGACAGAATTTTCATTTATGGATGAACTAACCCTTTAATCCTTTATATCAAAAGGTTACGGAAAACCAGACAAGCATGTTCAGAATTTTAACTGGTAGATACACCTCATTTCACTTCAGTGAGCTGTGAAGAAGAAAGGCTCTTCTCTAAATACTCTTTTACAACCGATTTTGAATTAACAAGAAATTACTCCCATCTGGCACTGGAACTTATCTTACCCACTTCTGCTGCTGCTCGGGTTTTATTGAGAACGTACGAGTGACTGGCTGGATTGTCACCCACTAACACTACACTCAGGTGAGGTCGTCGGTTTCCAGCAGTGACCCACTCCTCCACGTCATCACGTGCCTCGTTGCGGATCTGCCGTGACAGTTTCCTGCCTGATATGATCACAGCCTCTTGTCTGGAAAATAAAAACCATGAGGACTGGAGAGCAAAATTTCACTGCAAATAACTACAAATCTGCTTCTGCTCTGGCTAACTTTGAGCCAAAGAAGTATGGGAAAATATCATTTTTCTGTGGAATTTATCTGTTCATACAGTGTCCTCCAACAATCCAGATACCTACAATTGACACTGGGAGTCATAGCTGCTGTCTAAAGATAAGCACTGTGCTGGGTGTGATAGACTACAGTCTAAATGAAGACATATGGACAATAACTGAAGATAACAGGACACTTTGAAGAATGTCAGAACATTCTATTTGTAAAGTGCTTTGGAGAAAAGTGTCTTCTAAGTGATTAAACATAAATGTAGGGGCCTTGTTTGAATGTCAACAAAAACGACAATTCTAAAGAGAATTCTCAATTCTTCCTAAGGAATAAAATAACAATCCATACAAATTTAGTATGAATATTTTTACTATTCTCAGCAGCATTCATTTACAAACGCCTTGAGCGCCGTAAAAGTGTTCATGTCGCTCCCTGTGTAACCTTCACTGACATGACAATTTTCAGTAATGATGATCATTTGTGTTCATTTTTTGAATGCGAGGCAGTAAAACTGTTCTGGATATTCTCGAAACATTACAAATTGTGCGCGATACTTCTATACAGCATGTTTTATTCAGAAGAAAGCGCATTTGAAACAGCACTGTACTAGTCACTCGACGGTTATGGGTTCGAATCCCGGAGAATGCATGAACTGATCGATTTTGCGTAAATGCAAACAATAAATGACTGATCTTTAGCCCTAACAACAACTGCTAACTATAGAAGACTAAAAAAACCAACAAAAAAAACACATTGTTTTTTCCCGTGATCATCTTGTGACAAAGGTATAGAAGCTAGTTAGTTTTCTTTTTAAAACTTTGTTACACAGGGGGAAAAAAAACGTTAAATGCATGGCTGCTTGTATGCGGCTTAATTGAAGACACCTCAATCAGTCAAGTCATGTGTAGAAAATGTAGTCAGCACCGTTAACTGAATCTTATTAAATCACTGGCCACGCGGAGCATAAATGAAAACGGGTATGTGCTGAATTTGAGCAATCATGCACAACGATCGCTTAATGAGAGTAAACTCAACACATGCGCACTGAAATTAGCAGAGGGGTCCCTCTGTCGAAACCAAACTTGACGCCTCTGCTGCGTGCAAGCGGTTTATGACATTACATCAACCGGGAGCTCCGGGAGCCGGCGAGCCGCTCGGGGGCACACAGTGAACTCAACAATTAAACCGGCGTTTGTTACATAACTAAAACATCGAGAGAGAAGTCGCAGATGACATGTTTTATAAAGAAACTTAAGTGTAATACAGTGAGATAATTACATCAGAGGTATTGCTGATAAAGAGTTACACTTCCGCTGTACGTTACATGACAACCGGTTTAACGAGAGCGGATCAGAACGCAGTGGCATTCGTAGCCCGCGCTTATTCTATCACAAACGACCGTAACGTTAGACAGCTCTCGCACACTTACCGTGAAGATGACAAATGAAAACTACATGCCTGATGGTGAGAATGCCGGCATAGTTTCCGCAATGCCCGGAGTGTAACGTTAGCCATTGGTGGGTGATATAAATAAGAATAAAATATAACAAAGATTGAAAGCAGCTAAATTGCACCTATGCGACCCAAAAACAGACTGGGTAGAAATAAGGAACTGCACACTAAAATTGAGTATCAGTTTATAACCCCGTTGCCCCGTGCGTGGATATAGCGTCACGATATGTTCCCCCGTGAGGACAGACTAACGTTACCGCCCCTTGACCGAAACGCGCATGCTCGGTATAACTACAAGGTTTTAGCTGCCAGGGGGGCTTTTTTTATTTATAGTTTCACTAATAATTGTTTAGAAAGTGTAGTCATAAGTATTGTAACAATATTCGATCCGTATAAATGAGGAAGTTTGCACGTAACCACGCGCTTTATTTCTGTGGTTACACGGCACTCGCAGGGAACCAATCGTAGACGTTTCCTGAGTCTTTACTTCTACGCCTACTGATGTCTTTCGTCTGTATGTGAAACCTCGAACTTCGAAGAGTACTTATAAATGGTGTTTAGTGGCCTTTGAGAATTCACTTTATAGTAGTAGCACTTCGCATTGCCGTCTAAAAAAAATTTTGAAGAGGACAAAAAAATCCGGAGATGAGTTTCTTATTGTAAGTATTTTAGACGCTGCAACAGTATGTTAACCTTTTCTTTCTTGCCATAATCGTGTATTACTGATATATTACCAAGCAGATGTATATTCCCAGAAGAAGTAGTAATATGGAAGCACATCCATCAGAAAAATAAAACGAATAACATCTGCTCGCGCTGATAACGTTGAACTTTCAGCATATCCGGTTGACATGTCTGTTCCTGCGTTTAGCATGAAAACTTCCGACTCCGCTTGTTTTGAATTTTACATTGTTTTTTTTCTTCTTTCTTTTAAATTCTTACACTCGTGCTATGTTGATATATTGTTTGTAGTCCGTTTAGTCTCTGCGTTTTTCTAGTAAACTTGATTGGTGTGACACAATATGTGACTTTGTGTTGTAGTGGAAGCCGTTCATCAAAGACTTTCAAGCCCAAGAAGAATATCCCAGAAGGCTCTCATCAGTATGAACTGCTGAAACATGCAGAGGCCACGTTAGGAAGCGGAAACCTCCGAGCTGCTGTCATGTTACCAGAGGGAGAGGACCTTAACGAATGGATTGCGGTCAATAGTGAGCTTTTCTTTATTAAACAATTCAAATTTACATTAACTTGCATATGGAAGCCTAAAATACATATAAACGTGTACATAATATACACATAATTACATCTGAAGTCATATCTCTAAGTGTACATATTTACTCATATGCCTCAAGTAGTAAAAATAAAAAAATTATAAAAGAACAATAACCAAATAAGTATAAAATGCAGGTTGAAATAAAACAACAGGCTTTTTAAATTATTATTATAAATAGCATGTTCTTTACCTTAAGAAGAAAAGAGACTTAATTCCTAAAATACTTTTTTAAAATTGCATTTTTTTTTTTTAATGCATTAAGGTTACATTACATTTATGTGTATGATATCTTTGACATTCTTGAGAGACCATCCACAAACCAAAATATGAAATAAATCAAATGAAGGATTGCCAGTCTCGATGTTTAACCAGATAAAACGAACCTGCTAGAACTGCAGTGTGACTGAACCAAAAAGAAATAAGCTCTTGTTAGTTTCAGGCTCTTTTAAACCGAATCCACAAAGATCTATTTCGAAACGAAACCTTTTTCCGTAAAATTTCAGCTGCTAGATAGGGGTGTGCGATATATATCGTCTGCAATAATATCGTAATTGTTGTTTTAACGATGTGCGATTTGACATTATCGAGTATTTTGCAAAAACCATTCAAAACATCCCTACAGAGCGCACGCATACATTACGTGAAGTCTAGACTAGTGCGTGTGCGCATTTAGAGTGCGTTCTTTCACTGCATGATTCAGTCTATTAAAATGCATTTAGAATGATCACAAATTCAAGACATGATGGCAGAAAAGGTATATATTTATTCCACTTCATATAGTTATTCAATTTCACACGAAGAGTGCCGTTTTTCTCCAAAAATTACCATGATTACAAATGTGACATTGAATTCAATAAACAATAAGTTAATTAAGAGACTTACGTTTTAGACACCATATTGCTTGTTTTTGCTCTATTTCGCCAACAAAAATCATCCCGAATACAGCCACAGCGCTGTTTTGTGTCTCTGAGCAACATGACGGTGTTTCGTTCTTGAATGAATCAACCGTTTAAATGATTCAACCGTCAAAATATCGTCTAATTATCGTTATCGATAAAATCCCAGAAAATATCGAGATATTATTTTTTGTCAATATCGCACACCCCTACTGCTAGATAAACGTTATTGATTTGAAACTGTATGTCCTTAATTTTTGGTAAAATTGGTCATTTAAAATGAGTATTTATTTAATCGTGAAAGTGAAGTGACGTGTGGCCAAGTATGGTGACCCATACTTGGAATTTGTGCACTGCATTTAACCCATCCAAGTGCACACACACACACCTGGAGCAGTGTATCAGTGATAACAATGTATCGGCATCAAATACTTTTGATGGTACATTTAAATCAGAAAATAATAACAATTACATTATTGTTGGACGTTTTATCACCAATGAACACGCTGCCAATCTTCAACTCGGATACCTTTAAATTGTCAACAGTGAGTTTGTGTAAGTATTTTTGAGAAAACAAATGACTACGTCAAATTAATTAATTTGTCTTTATTTCAGCTGTGGACTTCTTCAACCAGATCAACATGCTCTATGGCACAATCACTGAATTTTGCACAGAAACCAGCTGCTCTGTTATGTCTGCGGGGCCTAGGTAAAATAAAATAGCTTCTTTTCAATGCTTTAGAATTTTCACTTAAACTTTGTGCTGTGCTGAAAATCCTTCACCTGTTTCGGTGTTTCCAGTTAGAGATGACCAGCTTTTAAAAAAATGTATTGTAAATGTCTCATTATGCTATATTATCACAGAATATTGGATTCAGTCTCGACTTGTTTTTCTTTCAAATAGCACAGGTTTTGTGTCTCTTTTTGAAACCGATTGATCGTCCTCCTTGTTCATATGAGTTTATGCAAGTTTTTGAGTGAACAGTGCCAAAATAATCCACAAATAATGCTTTATCATTCAAAAACTGAGGTGCACAAGCTCCAATCAATGAGGCAGCCAATCGATCAGTTCCAAAAAGAAATACAAAACCTGTGCTAATTGAAAGAAAACAAGTTGATAAAAAGATTGAATCCAATATATATTTACATTTATATTTATATTATATATACAATATATGGCGATAATATAGCTTGACAAGAAATTGCTTATCATTGTGTTACACAGTGTTACAAGGCAGAAAAAAAATTATCCAATTTTAAGGGAAGTTGTTATAAAGTCAAAGCTAGCAAGTTTTAGTCCAGTGTGATAATATTCACTAGCATTTTCAGGAAAAAGAAAATCCTCTACGGATCAGAATGACCAGAATACAACATGAGGTTTAAACAAAATATAACATTTTAGAAATGTTTATATACTGTTATTATATAAATAGTGGATATTTTGTCTAAAATGTAATTGCTTTTTCATAAAGGTATGAATATCACTGGGCAGACGGCACCAACATCAAAAAACCCATCAAGTGTTCTGCTCCCAAGTACATTGACTACTTGATGACCTGGGTTCAGGATCAGCTGGATGAGGAAACTCTCTTCCCATCTAAGATCGGTTTGTTATTTGTTATTAATCGTTATATAGTGTAAGCTTGTCAGAAAGGCTCTCTCATTTATTGCATTTATTTACTCCCTTCAGGCGTTCCTTTCCCAAAGAACTTCATGTCAGTGGCAAAGACTATACTGAAGCGTCTGTTCAGGGTTTATGCTCATATTTACCATCAGCATTTTGACTCGGTCATGCAGCTTCAGGAGGAAGCTCATCTTAACACCTCCTTCAAGCATTTTATCTTCTTTGTACAGGTCAGTGCATTAACACACACATGTACTGTAGGTCATGAGTGACAATGTCTAAATTGTTTGGTCAATACTCTTCTTGAACTGATTACAATTTTTACATATTTTTTTTTTTTTTAGGAGTTCAATCTCATTGATCGCAGAGAGCTGGCACCCCTGCAGGACCTTATTGAGAAACTAGGCAGCAAGGATAGATAAACACTGATATGAATACCATATTGGTCAGCCTTAATGCATTTTCCAGAAAGCCTTTCTTTTGTCCTGTCCACTTTTTGGAGTCTGAATTTGTTTTGTGCACTGATTGTCTTCGTTGTATCTCAGCTGTGCTTCCTGAAGCTCATAGAAGAAGTCATCCTGAAAACTCTTGATTTATGTGTGGATTTTCTCTTTGTTTGTTTTTTTCTGTTGTCAGTATTACACTGTAGGTCTTTTTTTTTTTTATTTTTTTTTTTTTATGTATTTGTGATGGATGGGGATATAAAACGAATATCAGAGTTTAGTTTTGATGGAAGTAAAAATAAAACCAGCATTTTTAGTCAGTACTTTTATAATGTGTGAAAAAAAATTAAGATGTATTGGAGGAAGGGATCAATATAACATTTTTTATTATTGCTTTGTACAAGTTTGAAGATCAATATTATTTTTGATGTGTTCGTTTCTATGTGGCTGCATATTCAACAGTGAAGATTATTACAAGACTTGTTGGTTGTAGGCGAATCTCAAGAGATTTTATATTCAGACTTTTAAGCAGTATTTCATGCATAATGTAGCATCAGGTTAATTTTGTTTTTCCTTTTTCATTTTATTTCTACTCACAATAATGTTTATAATCAGATTTTCGAAAGCATTTCGTCTTGTTAATGTTTAGGTTATAGCCAATGAAAGTTCGTAAAAATTCCCAAATGTCATTTGAACAACAAAATGCTTATTTGTTAATACTTTTATTTATTTATTTAGTTTTGTTTTCATGAATTACACTGTATTTTGCATTATTTGTATTAGACATCTTATAAAAGATGCACTATAAGATTTATTGTAGTAAAATATATATTTTTTATTATTATTTGTTATTTTTTTTAACGATGTTGTAAGGTTGATATTTTTCAAAAAGGAAAAAGCGAAACTTTTATTTTGAAACTAAAACTTTCCTCACCCGGAAGCACGTTTCTGCTGAGATGCTTAGTGCAAATAAAATGTTCAAGACAGTATTATACATGTATGAATGATGTAATATTATTTTTGTGTGATGTCAGGGATGAGTATGAGAACGATAAAACGCCTTTTCTCGAGCGCTGTTTTTTACCGTTTTGCGAGCAGCCACATGAGTAGAAGCAATGAAATAAAGAGAGTCTCGATCGAAGGAAACATTGGTATGTTTTGCTTATTATAGTTTTTTTTCTTTTACACATGATTCGTGTTTACACTGGTTATGTGAGTGTAATGAAATTTGAAAAATAATAAAGTCATGGTTATCTAATGTGGCATATGCCCATTAACAGACCGGTTCTCACGTGTAACTTAGTGTTAGTTTAAAGTTCAGTTGGTAATGTAGTGTGTCTTCTAAACATCCAAAGCGGTCGGGAAGTCAACATTTGCCAAGCTGCTACAGAATGCAGGACAGGACTGGGAAGTGATAGCAGAGCCCGTCAGTAAATGGCAAAATGTGGACCAACCGACTCAGGTCAGTGTTCACTACACTAGTCACAGACGAGACGACAGATCAACACTGAGACAGTGGACTGAAGTGATATTTCACCCTCATAAATGAAGATCATATATGTACATGTATGTCAAGCTCCAAGAAGTACATGCAATAATTAAATAGAGTCTGTATGATGTTACATAAGTCAATTTGATTATTTAGATATAAAAATATCAAATGATGAGAACTTGTAATTAATTGTAATCAACTGGTTTATTTTTATTCTATTAATCACAGGTGTATTTCATGATTTCAGTTACGTACAGAAAGTGTCCATATAGTTATTGTCTGAATTGTAAACCGTATATCTGTTGTTTTGTCCTGTAGAACCAAGTATTTGTGAAATATTTTGATTCAAGTGTGCTGTCTTTAAATGCCACGTTTTACATTTACATTTAGTCATTTAGCAGACGCTTTTATCCAAAGCGACTTACAATTGGGGGATACATAAAGCTCCGATCCTGCTTGAATGCAGTGGGGAAGGTGCCTGTGAGCAGAGATGTATTGATGATGTGTGTGAGTGCTGGTAAAAGTGTAGGAGAGATTGCTTGGAGGAGGTGTGAGGGGATTGGGTCTAGAGGGCATGTTGTAGGATGGCTGGAGAGCAGAAGTTTTGATACTTCTGCCTCAGTGAGGGGACAGAAGGAGAAGATGGGAGTTTTTGCAGTGGGTGTGGTTGGTTTGAAGTCCTGTGTGTGTGGGGCTGAGATGCTCTAATGATGTTTTAAAATGTTTTAATGCTCTTTCTGCTCAATAAGCAGTGAAATAAGTCCAAATACCTTTTGGAAGCTTGACTCACAGTATGTTATGTTCACTAATGTGTTTTTTCCTTTCTGGGTAGCAGACTGTGGATGGTGCTCAGCAATCATCCAGTAACCTGTTAGAGATGATGTATCATGATCCAAAGCGCTGGTCCTACACTTTCCAGACGTTCTCCTGCATGAGTCGCATGCGCACACATCTGCAGCCCCTTGCTGCCAGATTACTGCAGTCCACAGGCACGCCGGTACAGGTGTACGAGCGCTCTGTCTACAGTGACAGGTGATGGTTAATTAAGATTTTCACTGAGTGTATAATTCATAGTTGGTCATATTGCTCAGTAACTTTTTTTATTGATAATTTGCAAAAACTACAGTGCTTCTTTTGATTATCTTTTTTCTTTAAATCAGATGAAACTTTGTTCCTGTTTTTACATGTTAAAAATAGGTTTGCCCTTGTGAAAAGTACACTTTAGCATACTTTAGCAATTAGTTGAGTGCTTAGGTGTTTTTTGACCCACTTAAAGGGGTCATATGATGCTGCTAAAAATAACATTATTTGGTGTATTTGGTGTAATGAAATGTGTTTATGCGGTTTAAGGTAAAAAAAACACATTATTTTCCACATACTGTACATTATTGTTTCTCCTCTATGCCCCGCCTTTCTGAAACGCGTCGATTTTTACAAAGCTCATCGGTCTGAAAAAGCGAGGTGTGCTCTGATTGGCCAGCTATCCAGTGCGTTGTGATTGGCCGAATTCCTCAAGCGTGTGACAGAAATGTTACGTCCCTCACCATACTGTGATGCCTGCGGCAACCACATATGACCCCTTTAAAGTACTGGTACTACTGAATGTACTGACAAGCAGTTGTTGTAAACTAAAATATATTTTGATGTTATTTCTAATGAAAATTGTTTAAATATTTGTAATTACACATTTTTAATGATTAAATTACAATTCAGTACATATAAAATGTATTAACTTTAAAGGGATAGCTCACCCAAAAAAGAACATCATTATTTACTCGCCCTCCACTTTTTCCAAACCTGTACGAGTTTCTTTCTTCTGTTGAACAAAAAAGAATAATGAAGAAAGAATATTGAAGGAAGTTGGTATCCAACCAGTTGACGGCAGCCATTGACTTGCGTAGTATTTTTTTCCGCATACTATGGAAGTCAATGGCTACTGTCAACTGTTTAGCAAATGACGACAGAATTTTCATTTTTGAGTGAACCCTTTAAATTTAATATCAAACAACTCACAGCAGTTTATAATTATAATCTAGTCCTTTACCCCCTGGTTTCACAGACAAGGCTTAAGCCTAGTCCCAGACTAAAATGTAAGTCTAAACTGTTTCAACTGAAAGAAACTTGCACTGACTGATCTTAAAATATATCAGTGCCTTTGTTTTGACTCAAGATGCACACCAGTGATGTTTTTTCTAAGGCACATTTATAAAAAATGACTTAAATGTCCTAATTTAACTATAGCCTTATCCTGGCTTAGTCTAAGCCCTGTCTGTGAAACCAGGCCTACATGTTTTAAAGGGGTCATATGATGCGATTTAAATTTTTCCTTTCTCTTTGGAGTGTTACAAGCTCTTGGTGCATAAAGAAGATCTGTAAAGGTACAAAGACTAACGTCTCAAATCCAAAGAGATATTCTTTATAAAAGTTAAGAGTCAACCACGCCTACCTAAAACATCTCGTTCTAACACGCCCCCACATGTCTATGTCACGATGTGGGAAGATTTGAACAAATGTTCACGCAAAGAAAGAAGGCGTAACTTTGATTCTCGCTGTAGTATTGTTGTTGCCGTGTGTTTCGTTG